CCTTCCATTTTAGGATTGCAGCTACATGGTACAGCCTTTTGCAGGTTTGCGCCCTTAGACTGATTTCAGTGGGGCTTGCACTGTTGTTGTTGTTATTATGTGCCCTCAAGCCATTTCCAACTTATGGTGACCCTAAGGCAAACCTATCCTGGGGTTTTCTTGGCAAAATTTGCTCAGAGGAGGTTTGCCATTGTCTTCCCCTGCGGCTGAGAGAATGTGACTTGCCCAAGGTCACCCAGAGGGTTTTGTGGCCAAGGTGGGAATCGAACCTTGGCCTCCAGAGTCGTAGTCTTAACACTCATGCCACTACTCCAGGCTGGATTGCTTTCATCCAAAAATAAAATAAAATAAAATAAAAGTTCCACCTAAAACAATAAACAGCTGGGATAAAACCAGAGTCGGGAATACTGTAGTTATTTTGCTGGACTACAGCTATGGGGCACCTCTCCTCCAGCTGGCCAGCCAGCATGGCTAGAGGCCAGACTTTGGTGGATTCTGGTAATTGTAGTCCAAAGGGGGGGGGAAAGTAACCTTTCCAAGTTTAGTTTGAAAGTCTTTTGAAATGCCTTTTCCTTTCCCCATAGCTGAGCTATAGTGGTTTGAGCCTTGGACTATATGACTCTGGAGTCCAGGGTTCAAATCCTTGCTGGGCTATGAAACACTCTCTCAGCCTCAGAGGATAGCAAGGGCAACCCCCCCTCTGAAGAAACTTGCCAAGAAAAACCCTGTGATAGGGTCGCCCTAAGTCGGAAACAGCTTGAAGGCCCACAGCAGCATCATAGGCTAAAATGGAGGACATGCCCTGGGCAAAGGAAGAGGAGAAGGAGGAGGAGGAGGAGCCCTGGATCTCCCTGCTTCTTAGGGATGCTCCAAACGGAGGACATTTGGGGGGCAGAGGCCTGGGCAAAAGTGGAGGAGGAGGAGGAGGACCCCTGATCCTCCTCTTTAGCGATGCTCTGTCTAAAGGAAATCCCTCCTGCTGGTCAGAAGCCTGCAATGGAGGACATGCCCTGGCAAAGGAGGAGAAGGAGGACCTTCTTAGGGATGCTCCAAATGGAGGCTATTGGGGAATCCCTGCTGGTGGACAGGAGGCTGAAACGGAGGGCACCCCCTGGTCCCCCTCTTCTTATAGGGATGCTCCAATGGAGGAGAGGAGGAGGAGGAGGAGGAGGACCGCTGGTTCCCCCCGCTTTTGAGGGATGCTCCAAATTGGGGGGTTTTGGGGACTCCCTCCTGGAGAGGAGGCCGAAAAGGAGGCGAGGTCCTGGGCAAAGGAGGAGGAGGAGGAGGAGGAGATGTGGTCCCCCTCTGGCTCTTCTTGCCCATCCTGGCGGCAGATCCCAGAGGAGGAGGAGGAGGAAGGCGGCATGGGCGTCACGTGGACCCTCCTCCTCCTCCTCCATCCCTCCATCCTTCCCTCCCTCCATCCCTCCTTCCTTCTTTCCCTCCCTTCTCTTTGTTGTAGCCCCAGCCGGAGCAGCAGCAGCCTTTGGAGCCTGAGCCTGAGCCTGAGGCTGTCCAGGGGCGCCCAAAGCCAGGCAGGGGCCCGGGATGCGGAGGGCCGGCTGGCCTCAAGGCCGGTGGGTCTGGGCTCCTCCGGGCGGCGCCCCCTGATCCCCGCCGGCCCTGCCCTGCCCTGCCCTGCCCTGCCC